TAGATAGATAGATAGATAGATAGATAGATAGATAGATAGATAGATAGAAAGACAGAGAAGATAGATAGATAGATAGATAGATAGATAGATAGATAGATAGATAGATAGATGGGCGAGCAACGAGTAAAGAATTTACAAACATCGGTGCTATACAGATGATCCTCGTAAAAAAGTAGAAAAAAGCAATGGCTGAGATAGATAGATAGATAGATAGATAGATAGATAGATAGAAAGAAAGAACAGATAGATAGATAGATAGATAGATAGATAGATAGATGGGCGAGCAACGGTATAAAGTATTTACAATACATCGGTAGCTATACAGATGATCCTCGTAGTTGAGTGAAAACTGCAATGGCTGAGATAGATAGATAGATAGATAGATAGATAGATAGAATGATGAAGAAAGACAGAGACATAGAATATAGATAATGGATGGGCGAGAAACGGTAAAAAGTATTTACAATACATCGAAATGCTATACAGATGATCCTCGTAGTTGAGTAAAAAACTGCAATGGCTGAGATAGATAGATAGATAGATAGATAGATAGATAGATAGATAGATAGATAGATAGATAGATAGATGATAGATGGGCGAAGAACGGTAGAAAGTATTTACAATACATCGATACAGATGATCCTCGTAGTTGAGTAGAAAGAAAAAATGGCTGAGATAGATAGATAGATAGATAGATAGATAGATAGATAGATAGATAGAAAGACAGAGACATAGATAGATAGATAGATGAATGAATGATAGATAGATAGATGGGCGAAACGAGCAAGATTTACAATACATCGGTGCTATACAATGATCCTCGTAGTTGGTGAAAAAAAAACTGCAATGGAGATAGATAGATAGATAGATAGATAGATAGATAGATAGATAGAAAGACAGAGACATAGATAGATAGATAGATAGATAGATAGATAGATAGATAGATGGGCGAGCAACGGTAGCAAGTATTTACAATACATCGGTGCTATACAGATGATCCTCGTAGTTGAGTAGAAAACTGCAATGGCTGAGATAGATAGATAGATAGATAGATAGATAGATAGATAGATAGATAGATAGATGGGCGAGCAACGGTAGCAAGTGGATCGGTGCTATACAGATGATCCTCGTAGTTGAGTAGAAAACTGCAATGGCTGAGATAGATAGATAGATAGATAGATAGATAGATAGATAGATAGATAGATAGATAGATAGATAGATGAATGGATGGGCGAGCAACGGTAGCAAGATTTACAATACATCGATACAGATGATCCTCGTAGTTGAGTGAAAACTGCAATGGCTGAGATAGATGGATGGATGGATGGATGGATAGATAGATAGATAGAAAGACAGAGACATAGATAGATAGATAGATGGATGAATAGATAGATAGATAGATGGGCGAGCAACGGTAAAAATATTTACAATACATCGGTGCTATACAGATGATCCTCGTAGTTGAGTAGAAAACTGCAATGGCTGAGATAGATAGATAGATAGATAGATGATAGATAGATGGATGGATAGATAGATAGATAGATAGATGGGCGAGCAACGGTAGCAAGTATTTACAATACATCGGTGCTATACAGATGATCCTCGTAGTTGAGTAGAAAACTGCAATGGCTGAGATAGATAGATAGATAGATAGATAGATAGATAGATAGATAGATAGATAGATAGATAGATGAATAGATGGATGATTATTTACAATACATCGGTGCTATACAGATGATCCTCGTAGTTGAGTAGAAAACTGCAATGGCTGAGATAGATAGATAGATAGATAGATAGATAGATAGATAGATAGATAGAAAGACAGAGACATAGATAGATAGATAGATAGATAGATAGATAGATAGATAGATGGGCGAGCAACGGTAGCAAGTATTTACAATACATCGGTGCTATACAGATGATCCTCGTAGTTGAGTAGAAAACTGCAATGGCTGAGATAGATAGATAGATAGATAGATAGATAGATAGATAGATAGAAAGACAGAGACATAGATAGATAGATAGATAGATAGATAGATAGATAGATAGATGGGCGAGCAACGGTAGCAAGAATTTACAATACATCGGTGCTATACAGATGATCCTCGTTTGAGTAGAAAACTGCAATGGCTGAGATAGATAGATAGATAGATAGATAGATAGATAGATAGATAGAAAGACAGAGACATAGATAGATAGATAGATAGATGGGCGAGCAACGGTAGCAAGTATTTACAATACATCGGTTGCTATACAGATGATCCTCGTAAACAGTAGAAAACTGCAATGGCTGAGATAGATAGATAGATAGATAGATAGATAGATAGATAGATAGATAGATAGATAGATATATAGATAGATGGGCGAGCAACGGTAGCAAGTATTTACAATACATCGGTGCTATACAGATGATCCTCGTAGTTGAGTTGCAATGGCTGAGATAGATAGATAGATAGATGAATAGATAGATAGATAGATAGATTTTGATAGATATTTTCATTGGATACACATATTTGAGTAAACGTTCCGTTTATTTATTGAAACTAGGTACCTCCACCGGTACGCCCCAAAACGAGCATACTATGATGAAAGGATGCCCGAATAAAAACGAAGTTCTATCCTCAAGATCAGTACGTTATCAAGTTGGTGCAAAAATAATTTAAGGATGTCGTTTTTGACCTTAAAAATATGTCAAAAACGACATTATTACGTCATTATTTTTGCACCAACCTAATTTTTATTAAATTATATTTTGATCCTTTTAGAACGTTCGAAATTTGGATTAAAAAATCTTGTTTTCTTTGCAAGAGCGGGGAGACCAAAGATTAATATAAGGAATATTAGCGTCTTTTTTGCGGTGAAAAACACTGGGAAACTCTTCCAAAAATCAAGTAATTGGCGGATTTTAATTAAACTGTTAGAAATTATTCACAAATGAATGAAATTATTTTCGAATTATTTTTTTTTCTTTTAGAAAATCTTGGTAAAAATTTTTTGTAAATCAGACCCCCCAACCCCCAAAACTTATTTAATTTTAAGATATTTCAGGAAATGATATTTTGTATAAATTAATGTTTATATTAGATAAAAGCAGACCTCCTTGGAGACTTTAAATCGTCAATTCTTTTTTTTTTTTTTTAAAAACAAACAACAGTTACCAAAGATCTGCTCTGAATCGTAAAATAAAAAATGCAATAAATTTAAGACATTTAATAAGAAAAGCTTTTAATTACTTCTAGGAATAAAACATATTATGAACGCTATTGTCTTAAGAAAAATACTTTCAATGAATACAAAATTTTTAAAAGAATTGTATTAATTTTTAAAAATTTTAATTAAAATAATTTATAAACATGGAATATAAAAAAAAAGAAAAAATGTATAAGCTACTATTTGAAATATCTGTCGTTAGAACCGATTTCTTTGTCGCAGAAATTTCAGCATCAGTGCCGACCAAAGAAACGGGACAATGACTCAATCAAAGCTAACTTCGATTTGTGCAAAATCAGGCCAAATGAGGTAGAACTGTGTTGTGCGGACAAAGAGCATTGGGGTACCAATGTCTATGAAACCTCTGCAAACTTCGAAGTGGTCCGGCGTTAAAAGACTTGCGACTCAAAGAGAACGCTCGCATTCTGGCCATGAGACCCGGGTTCGAATCTCACCATCATCGATTTGTCAGGAAGGAGACTTCCTGGTGTTATCGGACTGGATGAGTCGATCCAAGCGTACGGCACCTTTGGAAAGTGCCTGAAAACCATACCACGGGTGGTAGCATGAAGTCACAAGTCATCGTGGCCGAAAGGTTGGGCGTGCTGGCCTTGTTCAAATTGTTGATCACGCTAGATAAAACGCACTTTCGCAGAAACTGTAACGAAGGTCTGCTCAGCATAGTTGCATTATAAGCCACAGGTGGGCTCTGTGGGTGTTGAAATGCGCCTGAGCAAGTGTCTGCAATAGGGATGGGCTAGCCGCCCAAGTAGGCGGGTATCCTCGAATACGAGTGGTCAGCTATACTCAAAGAGAACAGTACCACCATGCAACTTTAGGTTTAGGAATTGGGCTTATTTTGTTTTACGGCGTATCAACCTCAATGTGTTATTTAATGCCGACAAAATTTTTAGAATGGATTCGTTTTTTTTTTTTGTTGTTTGGGGGCATATCAATTTATTATGAGTCATTTAATGTCGAAATTTAATTTTCTTGAGAGCATTAGTATTTTCTTTTACAAAAATTGATTGTTGGTAATTCTTTTTTCAAAACTGTATTGCTGATAATATTTTGTTTTTTTTTCAAAAATGTATTGCTGGTATTTTTACGATAAAAATCTATCTTTATAATTTCATAATATTTTGATCCTAGTTTAAGGGTTCACTATTCCCTCATAGCTGAGACCCTAATAGATGCTACCACCCCGAATCAGGGTGGACATAGGAACAACAGCAATTAAAAGGTGCTTCCACGCTCCTCAAAACCTCCTGATCAGAGGGTTTGCTGCTGGATGTAGTTTATCGTCATACCCAGGACATGCAATTTTAGGATAGATCAAAACTACCGACTTCCAACATCGGCACTTCACTAGATTCTGCGGGTCCTGTCTTAGGTTGCGGAGCCAACTCCGTTTTCGCTGATGAAATGCAAAAGACTTTTTTTCGGAACCGAAGGACAGCGATGATGGTATTGATCAAATTTGAAGACCATACAGATTTCAATCCTTGGTTCGAGTAGTACGCATATAATCAAAATAGACTAGTAATCCGGTATCCTCAAGGATGAAGAAGAGACTCGAGGTTGCGGAGATGTGGTTCTACAGAAGGATGTTGAGGATATCATGGACTGAGCATATGAGCATCGATGAGGTCTTGGAGAGAAAGCAAACAAGGAGGAAGCATATGCTTAACATAAGGAAGAGTGCAGGTGAAATTTCTGGTACACATGATGAGAAAGGAGGGCTTGGAGAATCTGATACTCACTGGACGAATAGAGGGGAAAAGAGACAGGGGAAACAGCGCATGACATACGTGTCGGGCTTGGGCAGGTGGATGGTCTAGGGAAGTTGGCAGAAACATAAAACCTGTTGAGAGCCACAAGGGATAAGGGGCCGTAATCGCCTACGTCCTGAAAGAAAAAGAAGAAAAGAAATAACTGAACATATTGCTTCATCCACTGCTAGGAAGGTTGGCTCACTGTACTGATAAACTACATCGGGCAGCAAGGCCTCTGATCGGTAGAGCTTTTGAAGAGCGTGGAACCACCACTTAATTGCGATTTACACTATTAACATTGATCGGACTCATCTTTATTGCCATATTCCCAGCGTTTTGGCCGTTGCATGCTTCGGCCTTCTTCAGGTGATATTTGTTGGAATTTCGAACAGAACCATTTATTTAATCCATGTAGGTAGATTGTTCTAATTCCACGTGCCATGCCTTTGGTTATCTCAGTTTCATTTAATTTCCCTTGATAACTCTCCAGGATTTTCTTCCCGCTACTGTGGCCAGGAATTGAACTCACAACTCTTTAGGTTAAGTCACTTTTTGGATCAGTCAACCAACGCTTTTATCCACTGGGCCATGTTTCTTAATTGCTGTTATTCCCAGATCCACCCTTACCCGGGGGGATAGCACCTGTTAAGCACCCAACTATAGACAAATGGGGAACCCCCAAACCCTATATAAGTATAAAAATACACTTTTACAGTAAATATACCAGCAATACATTTTTGTATTGAAAAATTACCAACGATACGTATTAAATTTTTAAAGAGGAATTACCAACAATAAATTTGATACGAAAATGGCCAATAATATATTTAATCTGTAGTTGAAGCCTTAAAACTATGTTCAAAATATTTAGATTTTGGCATTAAATAACCCATAGAGGTGTTGCTATGCCGCTAAACAAAATCAACTCACCAATTGTACAGGAAAATCCATCTTGCATGTTTATAAGTCTGTCATTCGTCCGTGCATTGAATACTGCTGTCATATCTAGTCTGGTGTTCCTGTTGTGCATCTTGAAATTATTAACAAAATTCCAAGTAGGAGTCTGTAATATAATCAGTCTTAAGCTGGCATCTCGGCTCCAGACACGTTCTCACTGACATAATATTGTTTCCCTTTGTTTTTCTAGATATATTTTCATGACAACTGTTATGATGAGATTTTTCCTTGCTGTCTCGACTATACTGCAGTTCAAAAGTTTGAAGACCCCCCCGAATTAGCATGGGATGAACTTGAGAGAAAAGTGAAAAAAAAAAAAATGAAAAAAAGAACTCATAGAGTCATTGAAAAAAGAATGGAATCAATTATCAAACTTTGATAAAATTTTGCAACGAAGGCCAACCGTTTGTGCTGCAATAATCAAGGCTAAAGGAGGATATATTGACGAGAGCAAAACTTAATCCTAAAATGCTTTTTTTCTTTTTGTCATAATATATTTTCTAATAAAAAAAAATCATGTCTTTTTTTTTAATCGCTTATAATAATTTATTTTATTTAAAGTAGAAAATAACTACTTTGGCGGCCAATTTAAAAATATATACTAGGGTTGGCCTCGTACATTTCAACCGTAGTGTAAATAAATTAAAGCCTGCTACTAGAGTGACAACTAGGTCTCACCGTTTTACTGTTGAGCTTGCTAAATGCAACCACCACTTCTATACTAATTTTATTTTTTCGCAGTTCTCGACTGTGAAATGACCTCCCGATTTCTTGCATTCTAACCACTAACAACCTTCAAAAATTTAAATGCAACGTCAATCGCTATCTTCTATCTTCCTGATCCCTGTTTCTTTATTTCCTTTTTCGTACTCCTCCGCACTAAAGTCCCCCCCCCCGGGAATCTCCTGCGTCTTCGTAGTATTGTCCTTTTTGCTTGGGGTGAAATGATTAAAAAAAAAATTCACGAAGTTATTGCTCTATGAAAATAATATCTTTTCTTGTAAGTTGAATAAATCGAAATTTCCGGACCGACAGACGGCTGATGAATCACGGAGAGCATAACCGTCGAAACGTCATGATAATTACAACAGATGAGGATATTAGTCCAAATGTAAATAATAATAATTTTCTATCTACCTCCTTATAACCTTAAGGAGTTCTTATTGCCTTTCTACGTCATTGCTTCCATCAGATAGAAAAGCTGTTGTCTTGATTCGTGTACTTTGGGAGCCGCATGTGATATATAGATAAAGTCTACGGCTTTTATTTTATGTACTGATCGACCGACCGAGCGAGTGTGTGCGTATATCTGCGTGCGCATGACATACAGGCAGACGTCGAACGATGCCTTATTTTGAAAGCATAAAAATGAAATGTTTAACTCCGAGTGGATTTTTTATGTATCGCTTTGGGAACTACATCAGCCCGAATAAATAGTGTTCTCTTTTCTTTATCCTGTCAGTTTTTATTTAGCCTCCAATTAATTCGAGACCATGGCATGAAGATAGTTTTCGGTCTTATCGTTCCCCTCGGTACTTAATCATATATTAAACTAGCT